TTTTCGAAGAGTTACCTATTCATAGCGAGGCAGTTTCGAGGCGGAGCTTGGCATAAACCTTTGACTTCTCTGTACTTCGATGTCTGGTAGACTACCATAGTGTCGCCATTCGAAGAGAGTTTCAAGAACTATCCCGTCATGAGAATGGTCCTTTCTTTCGGTGATATTTGCCAGACGGTAGTCGCCATGAAGCGGGTTCAGCCAGTTGGGACCGATGGCAAGAATTTCGTTATACTCCTCCAGAAGTTGGAGCGGGGTAAAATCGCACCGGATGATGGATAATTATAGGTGACTGGGGTCGGTCTTTCAGCTATAAAACCAGCTTCATCCAGCCTGGTTGAGACTCCAGTCGAGTTAGACCCTGCAAACCCCAAAAGTTCCCTGCAAACATGTACTGGAAATCCATCGTCGCTCTTTGTGCCATTGCTGCTGCCAGCGCCAGCCCAGTACGTCTACTCACTTTTCATCATTGCCACTATTGTGACCGTTGTCCTTGATAGCTCGAGAAGAGGCAAGCCCCAAGTGGAAGCTTCTCTCGTCCTCCGCCTCCCAGCGGTGTTCCAAGTGGCCTCCCTCCTAGTGGAGGTCCCCCAAGCGGAGTTCCCCCCAGCTTCACGTTCTCTGTTCCAACGTTCACTGGCTCTCCCCCACCCAGGCCAACTTTCTCTGGCTCGCTCCCTCCAGTAAGTATAACCGGCTCGCGGATTCTCGCACCTTTCTAACTTGGTTTCGTGCAGTTGGACAAGAGGCAAGCTCCCAGTGGAAGCTTCTCTCGCCCCCCGCCCCCAAGTGGTATTCCAAGTGGCCTCCCTCCAAGTGGCGTGCCCCCAAGCGGTGTTCCTCCCAGCTTCACTCGTCCAGTCCCTACTGGCTCATTCTCTCGCCCACCCCTCGTACGTAACCAGGCTAAATTGGGATGATTCCTGTAATGCTAATGATCTTGTAGGACAAGCGCCAGAGGCCAAGCGGATCCTTCTCTGCTCCTCCTCACCCTACCCTCTCTCCCCCACCCAAGCCTACTTTCTCGGCTGGACCAAAGCCAAGTGGACCCCCTCCTCACTCTGTAAGCGGTTATTTTTTTCCGAAGACCAAAGAAAATACTAAATACTTGCTCAAGGAATAAATGTGGAGCGTACACGGCCAGACAAGCCTCAATATGAATGCGCACATCCATTCATACATGTCTCAAATATTGCAGGGAGAAAATAAGTGAAAATTCTAGATAAATAACTGTTATACCACCCTGCCAGTCATTTCGAATATACTCGTTCTTTGAAAGTCTGCCGTTTGCATCTATAGGGAGTAAAGTCAATATCCTTCTGCAAGCTTATGGATCAGGATCGCGTACTCTATATTTAAACTGGTTACTGTTCGGCCAACGAATTCAGAAACCGCACCACCCTACCAGCGGCTTCGCGTGTCATAGTCCCTTGCTCAGGATCTACCATCATGGAAGCCCATTTCTCGAATCGATCGGGATGATACAAAAATAGCGCATCTCGTATTCGCTGTTTTCGTGGTCGGTTGGGAGAGTGCGATGCTGACAGCAAGAAGGACGATATAGCTTCTTTGGTGATTTGTTCAGGTGAGCGAGGACTTGGGGTCATAGGCCATGGGATGTCGTCAAACCTGAGGGGTCGATTCGAAGACCTGTTGGCTAATGATGCCCAGGCAGAGAGGTAGGAATCAAAGGCCTTGCTTAATTCTTGGGATGCCAGGTCACGCGCCTTCTGACGGGCTTCGTCCTCTCTTTGCCGTTGTCTTCGTCGATCTCTCTCAGCTTTGGCTTTGCGCTCCTCACGTAGACGTTGTTGGCGTTCTTCTTCCTCCATCTCTTTCTTATGACGTCGCTCCCACATTCCTCGTCGGACCCATTCTGCGTATTCATCTTCTTCCATGTAATCCGGATTCTCATTGACGCTGTTGGATGTTGAAGGGTATTGCCACCTTTCGGGAACACGATAATCATTGAACCGAGCTTCAATGGAGTCTAATCTTTCATCATCCTCCATAGCGTCGAATAGTTTGGCGCGGAATTTGGCTTCTTCGAGCTCCTTCTGGATCTGTGTGTAGCCAGCTGGTTTTCGTGTCTGGCGTCTCTCATCCTTTTCGCCTTTAGAGCTTGATTCTTCCCGCATATGGTCATACGCCGCACCGACATCATTGGGTGTTCTATAGATTGTCGGTTCGGACAACCGCCAATACCGTTCGTCAATGTCATTTTCGTAATCAAATTGAAGGTCTGGCCCACGTTTGGCTTTCTTGCGAGCTGCTTTTCGCTCTTCTCTTGCAACACGTTCCTCACGCTCTTGGTTGGTTTCTTTAAAACGTAGCCTGGAAGACATGGGAGGGTGCAGAGGCGCTGGTGCCACATTGAACCACTGACTCTTTGCCACCCATTCCATCCGGCTGGTTACAACTCGCCCAATGGCAGATCTTTCCGCAATATTCCATGCGTCTCTGGATCCTGGCTCGAGGAAACAAGCTGAAAAGGCACTCGAGGATTACTCCGCCCAACCAGGCTTTGCACTACATTTATTGAAACTTGCCTTAGAAGGAAGCCAAGATCGCGCGGTACGCTTAGCGGCTAGTGTATATCTCAAAAATATTGCACGAAAACGATGGGTTCAGGTTAGTACCCCTCCAACGACTTGAAACAGTCCCAACCCTTGGTGATCAATTCTGATGTCAGAGTACGTCACCGCAAGTGGCGAATCGAGACTATATGTTGTATATTGGGTGTAAAACTCATCATTTTGACAAAGGGTGAAGCCCTGCTTAGCATAAAGTTCCGCCTCGTCTACGGACCCTTTACCTTTATCTGGGATTGAACTCTGTTGTATAGCCATTTTAACGAAATTATTCACAAATAGGACCCTGAAGATGACGTACAACCAATTTCTAGTGGAGATAAGGCGCAGTTACGGTCACATCTAGTACCTGCCATGATTCAGCTCTCTCAACCTGGCGACAAAGCGTTGAGGGCCCAAATCGCCGAGACAGTGTCTTTAGTTGCGGCAGCAGATTTTCCAGAGGAGTGGTCTTCCCTCTTTGATGCAAGTATTCTCCCACCGTTTCTCCATCTTCTCTAACTTTCCCTTCAGGAGCTTGTCAGTTCACTCTCACCCACGGAGCTATACCAGACACTAGCTGTGCTAGAGACCGCACATTCAATTTGTGGGCCATGGAGGTCGGCTATAAGGAGCGACAAATTATACACGATGATCAATCTTGTGCTTGACCGATTCGCGGCTCCATTTTTACAGGTATTTCGAGTTTTCGCAGGTGCACTGTTCGAAGGGCAGAATGTTGGTACACTCGAGGTGCAAGGACAGATATCATGGAGATTACTCCAATTATATTACGATCTGACGGCCCAGGACTTGCCTCCTATCTTTGAGGATACTTTGACCGAATTTTTCGCCCCCTCCTTGGGCTGGTTCCCCAAGTATCTAAACTGGGCATCCCCGGAGTTGGCTGGAGACCCCGATGACACTACTCCAAGTCTACTCTCACAGATCAAAACCACGGTCCTAGAAATCGCAGAGGTTAGTGCATGGCTTCTCTTTCAGAGGGCATTATTAAGTTATCACTTAGCTCTTTACCCTTCGATATGGTGAATTGTTCACGGATACATCTACCATCGGTTCCTTTATCGAAACTGTATGGAAAATCGTGTCCAGCGGAAACCACCCAGCTGTCGGTGATGACCCTTTAATCGCTCAATGTATGCGACTCCTCTCTTCAACCATCAAATCTGGACAATATAAGTCCATATATGATAATAAAAACTCATTAGAAGAGCTTATACGAGGTATTGTGGTGCCCAATGTGCAGTTACGAGGTGAGTTTGTATGTTATTTGTAATATATCACTAGCTAAATCCACATTAGAGCACGACGTGGAACAGTTTGAGGATGACCCACTAGAGTTCATCCGCTTAGACCTCTCCCTCCCTTTAGCCACCTCCGGCTCCGCATCCTTCTCTTCAACGGGAGGTGGTGATGGCACTACTCGTAGACAGGCAGCAGCGGATGTAGTCAAAGCTTTAACCAGTAGTGGCTATGAAGCCCAAGCAACCGAGATTGTTTTGAATTGGATCCAATTGGGTCTTCAGGTAAAATTAGATTCTACTAACTTGACACATTCACTGAAGAATTACAGGAGTATCAAAAGAATCCGTCGGAAAACTGGAAATATAAGAGCTCGGCTATATATTTAACCAGTGCAGTAGCTGCTCGTGGAACTACGTTACAGGTTAGAATAGTTCCCTTTTCACATATCTTTACACTGACGTAAATCTAGCATGGAGTAACATCTGTAAACTCCTTGGTTGATATCGTTCAATTTTTCTCTAGTTATATAGCCCAGGATCTTCAGAGTGCTAGTGGCTCTGTTCATCCTATTCTGCAAGTCGACGCGATAAGGTTCATATATACATTCCGGAATCAGGTAATGTGTACATTAGATTGTGGTTTGCTCATATCTAATCAACTCCCAGTTGACGAAACCACAACTACTCTCAGTCCTTCCCTTATTGGTTCAACACCTTGCTTCTTCAAACTATGTCACATGCACATATAGTGCCATTGCAATAGAGAGAATACTCTTCATGAAGCAGCCAAATACATCGCAACCTTTGTAAGTCCAAATGGTACTAACGGATATTGGCTTAGTTCTCTACAGGTTCAACCCGGATGATGTCCAATCATTCGCGCAAGGGGCTCTCGAGGCGTTGTTAAGCAAAATGGAATCAGGAAAGTCAGCTGAGAAAATAGCAGAAAATGATTACCTGATGAAATGTGAGTAAATGTACGATACCTCAAGGCGTCACACTCATCTCTGTGAATAGGTGTCATGAGAATCGTTATAACGGCCAAGTCCTCTTTAGCTCCTATCCATGGGCCCATTTTATCCCGAATTGTCTCTATCCTCGGTGCAGTAAGCCGGAATCCAAGCAACCCAAATTTCAACCAGTATACTTTCGAGACAGTGTCGGCACTTATTCGGTAAGAGTCTCGCACCAATGAACAATACTATCTAACATTATAAAGATTTGTCGTTCCTTCAGCCCCAAATGCACTTTCAGGATTCGAACAGGGCCTTACACCGGCGCTCACTTATATTGTGCAGGAAGATATTGACCGTAAGCCTTATTTCATCCTAGATCTCAAGGGTCTAATACATCTATCAGAATTTGTACCATACGCATACCAGATCATATCCCAGCTACTAGAGCTAAACCAAGGGGCTGTCCCAGAATTTTACAAAGGAGTACTCACCGGCATCTTACAACCTCCTCCATGGCAACAAAAAGGAAGTATTCCTGGTCTCGTGCGATTTATTCGCGCGTATCTGGATAAGGATGCAGCCGGTCTACTACAGTCAAAGCAGTTTGAGACAGTGCTGGGAGTAATTCAACAACGACTGATTCCCTCTAAACTCCATGATGGCTGGGCCTTTGAACTTCTGGAAGGGACAATATTGAATGTACCAGCGTATGTAAATCTATACCACACGAGCAATGACTCCTAACTGACCAGACCAGACAAAATATGCAGCCATATCTACGAGACATGGTGATGAGTTTACTCAACCGTCTGAGGACAAGTCGCACGGACAAATTCGTTGTTGGACTCATTCGCTTCACGGCATATGTTTCTTCTTTGGAGAGCGGTGGCTATACTCCAGACACGATTCCTGATGTTATCAATGGTATCCAAGCTCAGTACGTCTTTTCTTCTAGCAACCATCTATCTATTAACACCTCCGAAGGCTTTGGAGTTCCGTTCTCAAAGATGTCATGCTTCCTGTAGTGCCGAAGGTACCACCCCAAGATAGGAAGCTGGTACTAGTTGGCCTCACTCGGATATTATTTCGAGGACAGACCACTGTATCCTTGGCCAATGGTGATGTTTGGTACGGAATTCTATTTACTTATGGACTTTCCTAATGTCATTCACTCAAGAGGAGCTTAATAGACTAGATCAACCCACTGCGTCACAATTTGTAAGACAACAATCTATTTCTTGTGGTTTTAGCTAACCAATTTTTAGACTATGGCATCAGTAGGCGGAACACGTATTTAGATTCTCATAAATCCCCTATCCATCAAGTGCTTTCACTACGACCCTATCAGAGTTATGTAACTAGAACGATTGGCCGGAAGCCAAATACTCTTGAACAAAACCTTGTGCCAAATTGGGTTCGCATCGCTGAATTAGTGCTTGCCAAGTCGATCCTCCCGTTCTCTT